ACCAGGCTGTAGTGGGTTGTTTAAGGACAATTTCAAGGCTTTATGGGTTATTTCATGGTATTAAGTTTTGATTACCAGGCCGTAGTGGGCTGTTTAAGGACAGTTTAAAGGCTTTGTGGGTTATCTCATGGTATTAAATTTTGAATACCAGGCTGTAGTGGGCTGTTTAAGAACAGTTTAAAGGCTTTATGGGTTATTTCATGGTATTAAGTTTTGAATACCAGGCCGTAGTAGGCTGTTTAAGGACAGTTTAAAGGCTTTGTGGGTTATTTCATGGTATTAAATTTTGAATACCAGGCTGTAGTGGGCTGTTTAAGGACAGTTTAAAGGCTTTATGGGTTATTTCATGGTATTAAGTTTTGAATACCAGGCTGTAGTGGGCTGTTTAAGGACAGTTTCAAGGCTTTATGGGTTATTTCATGGTATTAAGTTTTGATTACCAGGCCGTAGTGGGCTGTTTAAGGACAGTTTAAAGGCTTTATGGGTTATTACATGGTATTAAGTTTTGAATACCAGGCTGTAGTGGGCTGTTTAAGGACAGTTTCAAGGCTTTGTGAGTTATTTCATGGTATTAAGTTTTAAATACCAGGCCGTAGTGGGCTGTTTAAGGACAGTTTCAAGGCTTTATGGGTCATTTCATGGTATTAAGTTTAAATACCAGGCCGTAGTGGGCTGTTTAAGGACAGTTTCAAGGCTTTATGGGTTATTTCATGGTATTAAGTTTTGAATACCAGGCTGTAGTGGGCTGTTTAAGGACTGTTTCTCCTGACTATAAGATTTTATGGACTATTTCAGGACAGTTTGTCTAAGTTACAAGGATTTATTGGGCTGATTTTATGGACTATTTCAGGACAGTTTATCTAAGTTACAAGGATTTATTGGGCTGATTTTATGGACTATTTCAGGACAATTTGTCTAAGTTACAAGGATTTATTGGGCTAATTTTATGGACTATTTCAGGACAGTTTGTCTAAGTTACAAGGATTTATTGGGCTGACAAAATTATTTTCAACAAACAATAAATGGCTGTGAGAGAACTTTACCAAAACCAGCCCCCCCCCCCAGTGGCGCAGCGGCATATCTGCGGACGTACAACGCTAGAAACTGGGTTTCGATACCCGTGGTGGGCAGAGCACAGATAGCCCATTGTGTAGCTTTGTGCATAAATTCAAACAAACCAAACCCCAGGCAACTTAGGTAAAACCAACAAGGGTTTTTCTCAAGTGGCTTATTGAGACTTAAGAACTCTTTCTTTTCTTACTCAGTACAGTTATTCCTAGCTTGGTATAATTAGTTCTGCACCAATTATTTCCTTCCGCTAATGTAACCAAATTCCTGTATCTGAAATAGTCTTATGTTTCAGTCCTGATACGTATTTAGTTTTTTTTTTTTAATATCAATATTAGGCTTAGAAATCGAGCAAAGACTTGTTTGTCATCACACGTTATGTTTGGGCGCTAGACGTTAAAGTGCCATTTCTCTGCGAGTCTCTGTAATTAAATCGTTTCATTTCGAAGAATTCTGAGCACTTGCTGTTCGACAATAAGGCCGTCACTATACCATCGGTGAACTTCTTTAGGCGGGAATAAGACGGCCCAACACCAAAGAATTAGCTCCCCCCAATCAAAGACTTGTTTTCACGCAGTTTACTATCGATGGGGTTCCAGGCATATAACATGATACTCGCTGTAAAGAATTGAACAAACAAAACTGGATGAAATAACCCATTTTCTATAGTAAAAAAAAAAAAAAAGATACTGGGGGACACCTAGCGATAACCATTGAAATTAATTGCAATATTGATGGTACAAATTTTTTTATTGTTTGTTAAATTTTTTTTATGTCTCTCATTTGTTATTAAGTCCTTGTAACTAACAAACCCGGGCCTATAAGCACTTTGGTGCATAAGAAAAGTTGAAAAAAATGTCTTTACAAAGGAAAAACGATGGCCCCCGTCCTCCCGGGTCTACATCGATAATTGTATTGTAAAGTTAACGACAATTTCTCTCAATATTATTGGTTTAGAGATGTATATTTAGCAACCCAAACATATTTTTTTAAAAGATTTATTAAGCATCTGTTTCAATCTAACAAAAATCACAGGGAAGGAAAGTCGGTAGTTGACTGCGGTTATAATTAAATTATGTTTATTTGTAATTAAGCACAAAGCTACACAATGGGCTATTTGTGATCTGCCCATCACGGGTATCGAAACCCGGATTTTAGCGTTGTAAGTCCGCAGACATACCGCTGTGCCACTGGGGGGGGGGAGCAATTAAATTATGAAAAATCCAAATGCTCAGATATGTCAAAGTACATAAAATATGCAAGGTAGTGAAGGGTAACAGAAGAAATGTGGACCAAGCCTGTAGCCAGGGGGCTCGGGGGATGCGAATGAGCCCTCCCCTCACCCCCACTTAAGTTCCGCTCGCTTTTTTTTCCCTTTCTTTGATGATGGCCTATCATCTTTGATGGTGGCTTATCATTAGATTGTTGTTTTTGTAACACTGTGCATAGATGCGTAACTAGCAGGGAACCATTACATATTTTGGATTTTTTTTTCGTCCCTAAAGTTACACGTGAAACGAGTTCCACTTTGGACCAAAAAGAACACCCAACCCGCTTCCAGATCTGGCTACGAGCTTGTGTGGACTACTTTATTGTGAGCGTAGGACGATCAATTAATGTATTATTGTTATTATTATTATTATTAGGCTTATTGAAATATTCGAGCCAATCATAATCACTTAATATAACTACCAGTAACCAGCTAGGTCTTCGTTGCTATTGCTAGATGGTACAAAATGTTATCATGTTTATCAGGAATCCTCTAACCTTCACGTCCAGACGAAGGTGATAAAACCAAGCTTTCTTATTGTATGTCAACATGCAGAGGGCGTTGTTTTGTGTTAGTTTTGTTTTTGAGTTTCGCGCAAAGCTACACGAGGGCTATCTGCGCTAACCGTCCCTAATTTAGCAGTGTAAGACTAGAGGGAAGGCAGCTAGTCATCACCACCCACCGCCAACTCTTGGGCTACTCTTTTACCAACGAATAGTGGGATTGACTGTCACATTATAACGCCCCCCACGGCTGAGAGGGCAAAAATGGTTGGTGTGAGGGAG